TCTTTATATACAGTCAGTGATCCTCTTTATATACAGTCAGTGATCATCTTTATATACAGTCAGTGATGGTCTTTATATACAGTCAGTGATCGTCTTTGATGATGGACACATTTGTCCATCTCATTGAATTGAAATTTGTCTCAAATATTCAGTTTGACTCAAAGATGACCTGATAGAATTTGGTGGTCAAAGGTCACAGTGACCTCACATCCCTGTGTATGTCATACACAGCTCAAAGAAAATACTTAATGTTCAGTGTAAAGATCCATGTGTCCATTTAGAAGAACAAGTGATTGTGAATCAGTTTCTCTGTTTTGGTGCAAATCAAAGTCACAACAGGTTCAATGAGACAAAAGTAAACGAGCCCCAACAGGGAATGTTTTTAATGTGGTGTCCACAGACAGCTGCTSTCTCCTGGTCCTTCCTGACTCATTCTAGTTCTGTGTTCTGCTCGGGTCCTCGTCACTACTGGTAGCATGAGGCGCTACCTGCAGCACCATCAGGGTGCACAGGTAGTCCAGCTCCTCCTGGAGGACTCATCCATACCTGTGGTCACAAGAAGGTTTGTGTCTCCYGCGAAGTCTCCAGAGTGTGGAGGAGACATTACAACAGGAGACGTTACACCAGGATAGCTGGACAGCATCAACCCAGCAGCAGGTATCTGCTCCTTTGTGTGAGGAGGAACAGGAGGAGCACTGCTCTACAAAATGACCTCCAGCAGGTGACTGATGTGTTTCTGACCAAACTGTCAGAAACAGACTCCAGGAGGAGACATGACGTCCTCTAGTGGGACCTGAGCTCACAGTCCAGCACCAAGCAGCTCCATTCACCAGAGAACACCAGGACCAGCAGGTTCACCACTGGAGCCTTGTTCTCCTCACAGATGAGCAGGTTCACACTGAGCACATGTGACAGATGTGAAAGGATCTGGAGAAGCTGTGGTGAACGTGACGCTGCTGTAACATCATCTATGACCGGTCTGGTGGAGGGTCAGTGATGGTCTGTGGAGGCAGATCCCTGGAGGGTCACATAGACCTCCATGTCACAGCCAACGGTTTCCTGACTGCTGCTAAGTACCAGGATGAAATCCTCAGAGCGACTGTCAGACCGTATGCTGGTACACTGGACCTCTGTGCATCCAATGCTACCAAGTCCGTCCACAGACAGTCCAGGAGCTCATTGATGATCCAGGTCAGACTCCACCCTCCGACTCATCAGGAGCATCATGTGTTAGGAGAACATATGGGCACCAGGAGGCCACACCCACTGAGTCACTTGACGACTTGATTCACACACGTTGGATCAGCCGGTGGTTTCAGTTTGTTACTGGGATGTTCAGGTTTGAATCCAGCCTCACTGGGTTGATGGTTTTAGTTTCCTTTGTTTCGTTGTTTTGTCATTTTGTTCTCAACTAATTCTACAATGTTCATCAGTAAAGATTTTACACTTGAATCATTCATTAAAATCTGATGAGTCATTTAACAGTTTTTTGTCCGGAGGGAATTTCATAACATCTGGTACAATTCACTGGGACTCAACGGCCCGGGCGTTACTCTACATCACTCCATCTCACCCACAGTATTTTCTGTAACTAAGCAACTAACCGCAGAGGAGACAGTGTACTTCCTGTTTACACCACATGAACAGTGGATAGTCATGTATGTGAATGATTGTGTGACATGTTGTCAGGAGTGGATTAATTTTTTTTAAAATTTCAGAATAAGAAAAAAAATTATACAGCTTTTTCTCCTATGTTTTTATTTTAGGTGTAAGGCGGTGATTGACATCAGAGGACAGCGAATCAGCTGCAGCCACTTTGTGGTGGAGGATGGCTACGTGTCAGTGGAGAGGAAAAAGGTGGCCACACCCACCAGGTGAGGACACACAGAGGTCACAAGGAGGACTGGCTGGGGTGACATCATCGTGTGACATCATAGACTGATGTGTTTGATTGGTTTGTGTCTGAACGTGTTTGTGAATCCAGGTTCATCAGCAGAGCCATCCTGATAACTGACGGCTCCGTTCTGCCCACTGACTCTGAGCAGCAGGTAAATCCTCTGACCCTCCAGCGCCACCATCAGGCCATGACGTTTAACACACATAGTTCCTGCACACACAACAGTGTGTGTTGAGTGCAGGAAGTGAACTGAGGTCCTTCACATGTAATGCTCTGTACAATGTTATTTTATACCTGTCTGTGCTCAGGTTTCCATGGTAACGCTTCCTCCAATGGCAGCGGGGTGTCCGTCGGTGAAGATGGTGGAGCTCTGTCCGTCCACGATGACGTGTTTACCAGGAACCTGTGAGTTGACACGCCTCCGATAACATGATCCGTGGTTTATCATGTTTGTGTCATGTGTCTCATTTCATCGACCAATCAAACCTCCAGTCAAAAATATTCTACAACAAACCCCATCGGTTACCATGGAAACGACTCGTCAATGTAATCTCTCCATAGATCTGGTCCACCTCACCTGTCAGTCAACTGGCTCCGCCTACCAGGACCTGTCGCCACTGGTAACCAGATTGTTCCACACTCCAGAGTCACATGACCAAGGTGACACACACACACACTCTCTCTCTGCTGCTCAGTCATGTATGACAGTGAACACGTGATAAAGTAACTATACGTCTAAAGTCTAAGATGCTGGGTTGTGTGTGTAGGCGAGCGTCCGTCTGTCCTCTGGTGTCTGTACTTCAACATGCCCGACGGGGCAGCAGTCGAGGTCGATGGTCACAACCTCCCATCAAACGTGTACGTGTGTTCTGGACCAGATGGAGAGCTGGGACACGAACACGCCATCACACAGGTGACGTCTCTAACACATCTGGTGTCTCCTGTGACTCACTTCCTGCTCTACATGCAAATTCATGTTATTTGTGTTTATGAGTATGTGTTGCATGTGGACACGAGCCAGTGAAGAGACGAGCCAGCAGAGTGTGAATGAATCAGCTGTGAACAAAGGATTTCACCAATTTATAGAAAGCTTGGATCATTGTGTTTACAAACAAATCAAAGACAAATGGCAGCAGCTCAGAGGACGTCCCTCATTTGTCCCAGGACAGACTCACGTTCACACTGATGACAGAATGTGGACACGTGTGCACACCTGAACTTAGAGCTGTTCACTTGTGATTGGATCACAGTAACAACACCTTCACCATGTGAACGGAACCAGGGACGAAGACATGACTTTCTAATTACATCAGTTTCTCCAACATAAAAGATGTTAAAGAATTTCAAGACTCAGGAGCCACTTCACATGTATAAATCAGTTGTGACCAGTTAGAACCCGATGGTGGTGCTACGTGTCGACTGATTAAAATCTGATCCGCTGACGTGTTCACGTTTTTCAGGCGGAGTTGATTTTCCAGAAGATTCTCCCTCAGGAGGAATTCTGTCCTCCAGCTCCAAACCCTGAAGACATCCTCTACGATGCAGACGCTGCAGAGGGAGACGGCCTGAGTCGTCAAACCGAGGAGTAGATATTTATCCTGTAGTGCACTGTGGGTAAAAGTTGCATTCATCCATTTTATTTTTTATATTTTCTGCTTCCTGTCATATTTAAAACTCAATAAAGTTAAACTGAGCACATTCCTTTTTTCCCCCCCACTACACTGCTGCATGATGGGAAAGATAAGTTGTTGCCTTTGGACTCTGTTCATCCTCTACAGTCAGATTCAAGATGTTTCATTCTTTTCTGCCTCCGTTTCAAGTTTTATTTTTGGAAATTTAAACAAATTAAAAAAAACTATGTGACAGCTGCAGATGAGGAAGTATTCCAGGGCAAAATATCTGAGTATTTCTAAAACTACAAAGCATCAAAGGTGAAAGAAGATTTATAGTAAAAGAACTTTAACACTGAATTCGCATTGAAACGTAAGAGCAGCATCTGTTCATGTTTGAGGCTCCAAAATAAAATATTTAATCTAAATAAATTTCAATTCAGACACCGAACAGATCAGTCAGACTCAAGAGTTTTGACTGTAATCTTTTTATTATCAGAAAACTTCCTGCAGTCTACAGACGGCGACCGCGACGTCCTCCCTTCCTCCGGGTTGAGTCCGATGGGATCGGAGTGACGTCCTCTGAACAAACGAAGAAACGGGAGTTAGACTCGGGGTCGTTAGATCTGACATATTTTTAGTTGGATACAGCTTCCTGCGTGAAGATGTGTGTGATGTTTACCGATGCGTCCGATCTTCATGCCGGACCGAGCCAGCGCTCTGAGTGCAGACTGAGCTCCAGGACCTGGAGTCTTTGTCCTGGAACAAACAAGACGCTGTTTAACTGACAGGTCGTCATGATGACAGATATCCACGTTTACACGCCAGCGTCAGAACTTGTTAATCTGTTGATTGGTGTTTACCTGTTTCCGCCGGTCGCCCTCAGCTTGATGTGCAGTGCTGTGATTCCGAGCTCTTTGCAGCGCTGAGCGACGTCCTGAGCCGCCAACATGGCGGCGTACGGAGAGGACTCATCTCTATCAGCTTTCACCTTCATCCCACCGGTCACGCGGCAGATTGTCTCCCTGGAAACACACACGCATTAGATCTCCGCAGATTACGTTGGACGACAGAGCGCAGGTGACATCTCATGTATACACATGTGGTTAATTATGGAGAAGTTCAAATTAAATCACCTCAAATTTTGTTAAAATGTCTGAGACAAACAACTCGTGTTCTATGAGGAACATTCTGTGAAGTGTTTGAAAAGAACAAAGACAAGAACTCTGAAGTTGGTTTTACAGTGAACTTTCAGTTGGATTCAGGTTTTCTTCAACGTGAACCAATCGAAACCATTAAAAAGCAGGAAACCTGGACAACATCATTATGAATTTGTTAAAATAAAACATCTCATTTATCAACCTACAGTGTCTCCATGGCAACACTGTTCATTCCTTTAAGACTGAGAACTGTAGTAAGATTGTTGGCATGGAGACGGCAGATGGTGAGCGAGTCACTTACTTCCCCGAGAGATCGGTGACGTGGACGAAGGTGTCGTTGAAGGAAGCGAAGATGTGACAGACTCCAAAAACATTTTCTCCTTCAGCGACCTGAGGACCAAGACTGATCACCTGCTCCTCCTTCTTCTCTTTCCCTTTACGAGGAGCCATTGTTCTGAGGAGGAGAAGAAAATTACTTCAGACAAGGAATGTCACGATTAACCCATTTTACCATAACCACCGCTTCATTACGTAACAATTGTAAAAACTACGACGTCTGGCGTCTGATCTCTCAGCTGAGAGAACAGAACCGAGGAGAGAACGTCCACGTTTCCTGTTCCACCACCTTTTCCTTCTTTAGCATCAATAACATGAAACCGCTCTGCCCCTCAGCCGCCCACGCGTACAACGGGTCAGACGGTGGTCAAACAAGTCACGTGACCATCACTACCACCTGCAGTCCATGACGTCATGACACACAGATCGATGCACGTGGATGCGATCATTCACAGTGCTCTGACGTCATGAGAGCCATGCATATCTGACCCGAGTCAAAGCGAATCACGGACCGACCGGAACAACGAGGAGCGGAAGCTACATTAGCATCTTAGCTTCTACGTTAACTACTTTCGCAAGTTGGCTTCTCGTGACTGACGCGCTCCCGCTTCACGCCGTGATACGCACGCGCCTCACCTGCGACCAACGCGCTGAATACGGTTTATTATCCGGCTGCTGGACTGAGTTCATGGACAAGATGGCGTCGTGTGTCCGGTCACACAAACATGATCTTTTTAACAGCGTCGGTTCGACTCACAGAGAAACTCGTCACAGCAGGAGGGTGAAGGAGAAGAGGCGCCGCAGCGCAGCCGAGTTTCACACGAAGATGATGGAGAACAAGCGCAGATGTTAGAAGATGAAGCGGGAACTCACCGAGCTGCGTCTCTTCTTCACTCTGACACAGAAAAGAAAGAGCTTCCGCTTCCGGCGCACAAGATGACGAGTTCGGCGCCGGAAACAGCTGCTGCCGCCACGTGGTCTCCCGGTGAAAATTATTATATATTTATTTACAAGTTTATTTAGGAGTTTATTTAGGAGTTTATTTAGGAGTTTATTTATAAGTTTATTTAGGAGTTTATTTATAAGTTTATTTAGGAGTTTATTTATAA